CCATAATGCATAAAGTCAAAAATGGTCTGGCGCCTCCTTACATTGCGGAATTATTTGTTGTTACCAATTCGCAATATCACCTTAGAAATTCTGATTTCACCATACCCAGATTTCGGACTGTTGTTCATGGCAAACATAGCCTGACTTATTTAGGCCCTGTCATTTGGTCCAAACTCGGCAAATCTATTTGATCTTCTGAATCGTTGCACACTTTTAAAAAGCGCATTAAATTGGTTGATTTCACTAGCCTGCTGGACAGTACTTGTAGAGACTGTTCTTTATGTAAAAACTAAACTTGATCTTACTCCATGACCCATTGTTTGTTTTATATATATATTTTAAAACACTTACATACGTACATGTATTTTATTATTTTATTAATTATTAGATAAGTAATCGTAGTTAGGTGTCCCCAATTAGTATACATTGTATGGTAGCGACTTTGACACCTTAATAAAGTTCTTATCTTATCTTATCTTATCCCCTAAGTTTTTTTTACCCTCTATATCCGGTATCCCCTAAGTTTTTTTCCCTTTATATCCGGTATCCCCTAAGTATTTTTTTGCCCTACTATATCCGGTATCCCCTAAGTTTTTTTACCCTATATATTCGGTATCCCCAAAACTCAGTCCTAATAGGGCCTCAATTTTTCCCATTTGTGCATTAACACAAGGTCAACTTTTCTTGGGGCTTGTCTTGCCGTATGCTTACTCATAGATGCTGTTAGCGGTATCGTAGATGTTGTCACGAGCTTCGCACATGTTGTCAGCGGTATCATTGCTGGTGTCACGAGCTTCGTTGCTGTCGTCAGCGGTATCATAGCTGATGTCACGAGCTTGGTTGCTGTCGTCAGCGGTATCATAGCTGATGTCACGAGCTTCGTTGCTATGGTCAGCGGTATCATAGCTGATGTCAAAGATGTTGAATGTGTTATTAAGGGATTTTCCTGCAATAAAGCACCTGGTCATGACAAAATCACTGCACAAGTACTCAAGGATAGTTTGTCACCCACTCTTCCAGCAATAACTTGTATCATGAATAATTCATTCAACACCAGGACCTTTGCAAGGCAATGGAA